AAAGAACTAAATTGTTTGAGTTTCACCCATTTTTTCTTCATTTATCAAACATTATCAAATAACCCCAAATCAAAAAAAAACTGAAGTTCGGTCACAAAACTGAAAATTACTAACTGCATATTACTAACGAAATAATGCTTGGATCCTCAGTACTTGTTTTAAACATATAAAATATGAAAAACATTCATTGCTGTAAAAATTATTTAGAATATACTTTAAAAAACTGTCAATGTTACCCCGTTTTACGGTAACGAATTTTCTTGAAATCTTCAGGGAATGAAAAACTGCTAATAAGTTATGGTTTACAAAACTTGTTTTATTCAATTTCGTCTCCCATCCGGAATGCTCGCATCTTCATTTTCAGTCTACCCAAAAAAAAATGTACAACCGGTTTTCCCAGTGTTTTTGTTGTTTTTAACCAAATTGTCTTTAACTCCAGCTATGTTTTTATAGTTTTGGGATGTTTTCGAAGTTCATTTTTTCAATTGGGCGAAGTTCCGGTGAATTTGGTGGGTTCATATCTTTTGGCACAAAATTGACTTCGTTTGCTCGGTACCACTCTAAAGTGTTTCGAGCGTAGTGGCAGGATGCTAGATCAGGCCAAAACAGAGTTGATCCTTTGTGCTTCCTTATGAATGGCAAGAGACGCTTCTTAAGGCACTCTTCCGTGTACCGTAAGCGTGATAATGTTTGCACCATTGAGCAATGTCAAAATTAAAAAAAAAAATCTCAAAATGTCGTTTTCGAGTTTTTTTTATTTATTATGTTTCTCAGAGTCTTAAACTATGTTAATCATCGATCGAGTCTCCACTTGCTGCAATTACGGCCTCCACACGCTTCCGGAATGCACGGCAGGTTCTAATAACGTAGCCTGGATCCATTTCTCTCCAGGTACGGGTCAATGTTTGCCTGAGGCTTGCTGTTTTGAATTGAGGTTTAGAACAGGCCTTGGCCTTCATGACGCGCCATATTGAGTAATCCAGCGGATTAAAATCGGGGCTGGATGGCGGCCACATATCCTTTGCCCAGAACGGAAGATGTTCCTGCAACCACTTCTGAGTGCGGTGGTTCGAGGTGTGGCACGGAGCCCCATCTTGTTGAAATACAACATTTGGCTTCGGACCGTACTGTTCTTTGATCCACGGAAGAACATACTTACTTAAAATCCCGATGTAGACCTCCGTGTTGACCTTGTTGCCTTCTGGAATGAACACCGGGTCAATTTTGTTGCCATCGGAAGCCACCAATCCAAACACCATAACGCTAGCAGGATGCTTGGTCAGATACACGTTCTTGTGCTCGTCGGCCACATCTTTTACCGGAAGAGAACTAATATACCGGTCGGTTCTGGAATTTGATGGGGATCGACGGTAAACATGCTCTCGTCGGTGAACAGGATTACCGGATTTTTTTTCGTTTGAGGAAGTTCGAGATTTTCTTGCATCGTTCGACTCGTAGCTCCCGGATGCGGTTGGTAATCATGTGAGTTTTTTTCCGTGCCCTCGACTTCACCCCGCAATCTTCCGTGCCGTAAAGTTACTGATCCCGTGTTCCTTTGCCATTTTCCTTATTGGACGCACTGGACTAACCCGAATCTTCCTTTTGATAGCAGCGATAACCCTCGGAACCCGAGCAGACCTCGGACGACCTGTGGCCACCTTCGCGGATAGTTTTCCTTTCTTTTCTCGGTCTAAAACCCTTTTGACGGTCCACCGGGACACTTTCACGGCGATTGAAATTTCTTTTTGCGACATTTGTGCGTGGTACAAATCACGAATACGCTACCACTTCGTCATGGTGCAACTGTCAAACTAAGTAAATCATTTTCTTGTATACACAGCCTACTACGGTATGAGCTATAGGTTACGTGCATGAAAAGAAAACCAAGGAATTGTATGCACAGGTGAAACGGGAACCCTATTTGTACGATGGTGCAAACATTACCCGAGCAGCACACTTGTCACTGAGCAGTTGTGGATACTTGTATGTAACTTATTTCTGTCACAATCAAGTTGCAGCAACCTATTATGCATACGGTAAATCGCACCGTTGATTGTTCCGGAAGTGATGAAGGGAGCGCTTATTTCACCAAATCCTCAAATCGCCTTCCAGATCAGGAACTTCTTTGCAAATTTCGATAATTTCTTCTTTCGAACATCCTCCGGAACATCGAACTTAGACTTAGCAACGAAATATTCTTGCACAGGAAGTTGATGGAAGTCGGCCTTGACGAAAGTTTCGTCATCCATCACGATGCAACACAATTTGGTGAGCAACTTCGTGTAGTGATGTTGTGATGTTTTGCTTTTCATTCCGGTTTGGGGCTTTTTACACCTTGTAAACATGTAACTTAGCACGCTTCATGGTTTTCTGCACAAAACCGACTGACACCTTGGACTTTTTAGCGACATCTCGAATTGAAATGTTTGGACGGTTCTTGTACTGTTACACTGGTTTCCTGGCCATTTTACTGTCCATTGAACCACTTTTACGACCACTTCCTTACTTCCTTCGGGCACCCAGACGAACCAAGAAGGTTCTTACCACACGAAACACAGTTGTATTTTCAATTCCAAGCATTTTAGCGATCCATCGGTCGGACGCCTTTGGGTTTTGATTGTAAGTGCACATTTTTTTCACGGGCAAAACTTGACAGATGTAAACAATACACTATGAATAAGATTTACTCAAATTTTTAAGGATTTTAACTCATTCGGTTCAAAAGTTACAAAAGATTTTCGGTGTGCCATTTTTATAGAATACACCCTTTAGACCATTATTTTGACCAGAATGTTGTTATAAAAACTCCTTTGTGCGTCGCGTAAAATCTCGTCCCGTTTAATTTTGAGCAGTTGGCATAAACCTTTACAATATGTTGTTCATACAACACTGCTAGTTTATGCGGTACTGCGCTTAAATTTTCATTAAAAATATCGTGTAAAATTACATAAAATTTAATGTTAAATACGTGACCTATATGTATCGCAGAAATTAACATGAATTTTTCAACCGGTGCATCTGAATTTTCCTCCACTCAGCCCAATAAATTACAGATCAGGTTCTGATCATCTTCCACAAAATTAAGCAATTAAGGAACTGTATCACCAAGCCCAATACAGTTCGATCTAGAAAAATCTATCGGATTGGAAAGTTTTTCGACTTCCCTAGGAATAGAGAATCATTGTTTTTGCCACTCAATATACAAATTCACATACATTGGTTGGCATAGAAAGCACTCAATTAATAACTGCGCAAGTGCTTCCAAGAACACTAAGTTGAGAGCCGGCAAAACGCTCGCAAAAGAAGTGTCAGAAAGCCAAAAGGCGTACACTGGCTCTTAGAAGTTTATATGGGAATTACTATAGCAAATTCAATTGTTTTGTTCACCTGGTCCTAGCCTTTTACTGTCTTTTATAATAGGAAAATTTCTCAGCTTCAACTTTGCTGACGACCACTTTTTAATGAACTAATTAATTATTATGCTGTTGATCTTTATTGGGTATGAAACAATGAAGAAGTTATTTGCCAGATTTATTACACTATTAATTACTGAAATAAAAAAAAAAATCCGTTAAAGTATTCAACTCCCCCTTCAGGGTGGTTGATATATGACAAATATTACAAACCAGCTTGAATCATGCGCATATTTAAGCAAATACGAAGACAACAGTTCCGGGTACCACCAAAATGAGCGTCTTAGTATAATCTAAATCCTTCATTTTTGGCTTTGGAATCATGTCAAAGCTTAACGTCCAAAAGCAGTGAATCATGTTGTTCGACAATGCCTAATAAGCTCTAGTAGAAGGTAGTGATCTGTTTGTTGTAATAACCTGCCCTGGGCTACGATTGATTGACGATCGCACTGAGTATTAAAATTAGTTCATCTTGTTCCTAATGCGACGCTCGATGAACTGAGGAATTTCATAATCGAACAATTCTCCATGCTCAACATGGGGCCGCACTGTCAACCTATAATTACCACCGGTGAATCTTTATTACATCACTCCAACCCATGCATGCACAGCACAGCATAAACTGCTGCACTAAATTTAATTAACGACCCATCTCCGAGCCCACGGTGCGCAAATTCCTTTCATTTAGCGCTCTCGATTCCTAATCCTTGTGACCTCCGCGTTTACCACAATCACCCACCACACGACCGCTACCAGGGTCATCGTCACACACACACGTCGTCATCTCCCTGCAGCCACCCCGTCGAGGATCGTCCAAGTCAGTCAGTCAGTCAGTTAGTGCTTTCGCTCTCTGTGATCATCTGCTCCAAGAAGAACCTTCACCACCTTCAACCGATCGTTACCGATATTCCACGTGCGCTCTCGCTCTCACGGATCCAAGCATAACTTCTCACCAAAACGCATCGTTCGAGGTAGACGTGCCCGAGAGAGGATCTTCCCAGCATCACGAAACAACAGCAGAAAAAAAAACTGTCTGGGCTAAAAATATGAACTAATTTTTTCCTCGTGCTCGACTCGTTTCACTTTCAACCCCCGACCGAGAACAGGCTCTCCTCTCTCGAGCGCGGGAACTTGCAGCTTCACTCTCACTTTCGATGGATCCCGCATGTGCTTGGAGCTCCGCCGCATGTTGTCGTAGGTTGGTACAAAGAAGAAGCATCAACCACGATCGAGCCTCCGATCGAGCAGCCAACCACCCAGCCACCCACCCACCACCCACTTGGGGGCCACTTGAGAGCTCTTGACGGCTGTTGCTGCTGCTGCAGCTTCTTCAGGTGATCTATTCCGCTACCATCGAATTTCCGAGCATTTGAGGACGGGTTGCGCTCGCGTTTGCCATCGTGTGCGTATGTGTGTTTGTGTGTATGCGAGAGTATTTTTTTTTTTCGGGGGGCCGTTCTCCTAGAGCAGCTGGAGCTCCTAGCTTCGGACCCCAAGCGAAGGCAAAGGCAGATTCCCTCGATGTGGTTTGTATAAATACGGCCGAGATGATTGTATCGAATCATACACAAATCAACCATCCTTTAGAGTACAAACAACCAGCTTCTCAAGCTTAGAGCTGTTTTCTTCTCAAGTGAGTTTTGTTTGGATTTTCCAAAATGTGTATGAGAATTTTGTTTGGATCTTCCAAGAATACTAGTGCAAATTCGGTTTCTAACTAACGGTTTATTCTTCTGTGTTCTGTCGGTTTCGTTCTAGATCAATTAGTTATCATCCATCGAAGAAGGATATTTTCCTCACCACACACCAACGTCAGCACCATCGACTGCAACAACCACCAGTGTGTTCTTTTCCAGTGTTCTAGCCAGAAACAGAAACCAATAGCAATCATGAAGGTATTTACGAGTTTTATCATGGAATGGAAACATGTGAATCAGAGACTGATACAAAGGCTACCGAAAGTGCGACGAAGCAATGTTTGAGCGGTGAAATGGGGCAGTTCTGATGAGTTCAAAGACACTGAGTGAAAAGCGACTGTGAAAAGCGAGGGATTTGTGCGGCAAAGTTGAAATGCGGTGCTGCGTTTCTTTCCAAACTGTTGCAATTTGTGAAGTGATAGAGTTCTAATGTTCCGCACAGTTCTCTGTTGAAAATAGTTCTTTCAACACACGAATCAACTCGCATTAGAACAGTTTATTGTAAATGCGATAATTTCAGTAATTTTCATTGATTTCATCCAAAATGTTTCAAATTGTTCACAGTCTGCTGTTTTAACTCAATTGTGGAAGGAACTGTGTTCTCAAAGGCAAAACAGCCTTCCAAATTCTTTCATGGTTCTTAACACTCCTAACAAAAACAGCAAGAATTTTAACTGTCTTACTAATGAAGTTTAAAGTTTCTCAACGAAAATAGTCATATAACGGAAATTTCATTTTAAAAAATGTTTTGAATTGCAATATTCCACACATTTTTTATTTAAAGAGCAGTTTCATGGTAATTTACATTAAATTTGGCTTTATTGTGTTTTATGATCAATCATTCACATTTTTGCAGTTTTGAATCTTTTTAAAAAAAAATGGCAAAACCGATATTTTTCAACAAATTATAGCTCGAAAATGTCACTTCCAATTGAAATGACGAAGATTCGAAATGGGTTCAACACATAAATGACTGAAATTTGCCCACTTAAATATTTTTAGAATTATTAAAAAGCTAATAAAACATGCCTCAGTTAAACACTTTAAAATTAACAAAAATCATTTAACAACAACTTTTGGACTATCTTTTCAACTTTTTGATTAAACAATGTTTTGCGAAAGTTTGCACAGAAAACCATTTTTAAGACTTTCAAAACCGTTTCAACATTTTACAAGTTCAAACATTTAACCAAAATCTCTTATATGAATTTTGTAAATTTTAAAGAATCCAACTTAAAATATTCACAGAAGATTTCATATTTCATAAGTTTTTAAATGAGAAATATTCAAAACATATCGAAGAGGATCGTTTTTCCGTTACTTAAGCTTTAAACATTTTGAATGACTTTTTTTCCAAAATTTCTTGCATACTTTTGTTTTGAATATTTTTTTCTGTAAAGGAATTCAATCACCATTTCTATTGGTTTCAAATTATGATTTGTTGAAAACGCCATTTTGGAGTGATTTACAGGATTCAAAATAGCAAGTGTTTGACCAAAACAAACAATTTGGCAAAGTTTAATGCAAATCTACGAAGATCGAGTCTGAAATATAATTTAATTTTTTTTTGTTATTTGACTTCTATATATTTAACAACTACCTACCTTAAAATAATTTCATTGGAATTTAAAAAATATAATGCCCTCGTATCACATAAATCATCAACATTGTATCTGAAATTTTAATGAAAGATACAGCAAGATGTTTACACAAATCTCACAACAGTCTCTGCATAACAGTTTAAACAGATTTGATGTTAAAAAAAACTTCCGGTTTGATTTGAAATTATATTCATAAATTACCACAGCTTATTGCAATTGATAAAAGCATCGTCATTTCTTGACTTTAAGGAAAGCGAGTCATTGAAGTACGAAAAAAATATTGATATATTTTCGGAACGATATTTTACTAGAAATCAGAAAATTTAATTTTATGTTTTGGTTTGAATTTAAATGTTTATAGCAAATATTTTCAATGCTCCGATTTTTAATGCTACAAAGCTAATGATTCGAATAAATTAAAAATCATCACTGGAGCTTATGAATTATTTCAAAATTACATTTATTTTAGTCCTTTATTTGAATAGTTTCCAAAATATAATGATATGAACAGTCTGCACAATATTTCAATCGATTGTGTTGTAAACTAAAGCTCTTCTTCCACCTTACTCAATCCTACTACAACAAATTTTTACTTTATATGCTAAATAGGGACTCAAAACTACCACTCGAAGTAAACACGGCCACTCAGAAAGTACAAAAACATGGTTCAAAGCTCAAGCGTTTGTTTTGCAACGCTTGAAGAAAACTAATCATATTCAAATTTATGAAATCTTTCAAATCAGAATTTCAATTCATCCTTATTTCATGAATAGATGAGCTGTCGATAAACAATGTTTAGTCCAATGCTGCTACTTAGCTGCCCAAAATTTTATAACAATTAAAACTTTCACAAATTATTTACAATGCACATCAAACTTAAATTGAAAATGTTGCTCAATAAATGTGCATGTATCTAAAAATTCCTACCTAAATACAAGCGTTTGTTTGGCAACGCTTCATCGTAAAATTATCAAACATTTACGAGCTTATGATTCACAGCAAATGGAAATTGATATCGTTTCCCAGTTACAAATTTTCTTTAAATTACTCCCTTTATTCAAGCGTTTGTTTGGCAACGCTTCAAACAATCTTTTCTTTGAACGCAAAGAATAAAATGGTTGAATATTAAATAGAGAGATTCGAAGCTTCATATCAATTACGAAGCAAACATGGCCACTCATGATGATAGTGATGATGATGACAGTGGTCTACCATTCATTGTAGCTCGGAAACTAGGCCGATAGCTGTGGGCTCTCCTCACTGTTGAACTCAATCAAGCTTAATAACCTCTGATTGTCAACAGCAAATCACTGTATGCAGGGCCAAAAACGAATGGATGGATTGATTGGCAATTCGCCAATTCATTTCCTTGGGACAGTTAAGAATTTCCTGCCAAAAAACTTGATCAGCCAATTGGTCAGAAAATGAGCCATCCAACAGGAAGATGCCCCAATGAATGGAGAGAAGAGCCCGCCCTTTATCCACAAAATGTTACCAACAGGGAGTTGAAATCTTCACTCTCCCGATATAAATCGCTTAAATTGGATGCCCTGATGATCCATCCCGAATTTTAGATATATAGTAATATGTAATGTAATAATCAGATAATCAGAAACCTAACGCCTACGATAATATGCGAGTCGATTGAAATTAGCCGAAAATAAATGAGGGCTAATTTGATTCTTCACATATAAGCATAGATGCAAAGTTGAGTCAAAGGTGTTGACATGCAGAATTAGAAGTCATGGCCATCAGAACATGGCCTCTCATGAAGCACAAAACACGGTTCCAAAGCCCAAGCGTTTGTTGGCTGGTTGGTTGGTTGTCTTTATTAAGGAGATTTTCAGCCAGACGCTGATTCATCTCCGCTCCCAAGCGTTTGTTTTTCAACCGCTCAACCAAGCGTTTGTTCATCAGCCGCTCATGATGATAGTGGTCTACCACTCATTGTAGCTTGGAAACTAGTCCGATAGCTGAGGGCTCTCCCCACTGTTGAACTTGATCAAGCTGAATAACCTCTGATTGTCAATAGCAATTCGCTGTATGCAGATTGCAGGGCCGAAAACGAATGGATGGATTGATAGGCAATTCGCCTATTCATTTCCTTGGGACAGTTAAGAATCTCCTTCCAACAACTTGATCAGTCAATTGGTCAGAAAATGAGCCATCCAACAGGAAGATGAATGGAGAGAAGAGCCCACCCTTTATCCACGAAATGTTAGCAACAGGGAGTTGAAATCTTCACTCTCCCCATCTATATCGCTTCAATTGGGTGCCCTGATGATCCCTCATCATCCCGAATTTTAGATACATAGTAATATGTAATGTAATAATCAGATAATCAGAAGCCTAACGCCTACGAAAATATGCGAGTCGATTGAAATCTGCCGGAAATAAATGAAGGCTAAGTTGATTCGTAACATAGAAGTGTAGATGCATAGGTAAAGGATAAGAGAAAGGTGTTGACAAGCAGAATTAGAAGTCATGGCCATCAGAACATGGGCACTCATGAAGCACAAAAACACGGTTTCAAAGCTCAAGCGTTTGTTTTGCAACGCATGAAGTGGACTACTCAAATTCAAATTTATGAAATATTTCAAATCAGAATTTGATTCATGAAGAGACGAGCTGTCGATAAACAACTTTTAATAAATCGCTAAAATGCATGTGCTCAAAAGTGGTTTAGCAATTATAAACGTTAATAAATTAAATGAATTTTTGATCAACGTTAGCAACGTAAAATGATCACAAATACGACAAATTCACAGTTCAGAGCGAATTTTGAATTGATTAGCAATTTAATAATAAAAATTGAAAAAAATCTAAACATCAATCCTAAATACAAGCGTTTGTTTGGTAACGCTTCAACGTAAAAGTATCATACATTTGATTGTTTATAGTTCAGAGCATATGGAAATTGATATCGTTTCCAAATAAAAAATATGCACATATCTTTAAATGACTCCAACTATTCAAGCGTTTGTTTGGTAACGCTTAAAAGAATCTGATTTTCAACCAAAAAAATTTAAATGGTTTAATATTAATTGGACCGATTCAAAGACTACCAAAACAAATTTTATGTTTAAAGAAAATTGTTCAATGCTCAAATAAAAAAAAATCGATACGCATTTCGATTCCTTCCTTAGCATAAACTTACATTGTTTACGTCGATTAAAAATATCACTATTATTGGATTCAATAAGCTTAAACCGTTTACTTGCAGCACAATTCATTCCTTCAAGCTAGGGCATTTATCATCTCAAGTCCAACAGTTTAAGCGTTTGCTTTGAAACGCTTTATCAGAAGCACAACCATAAAGCAGCGCTTTCAAAACATTAAATACAGAACAATCAGAAAACACCAGCGAGTGTCTGAATCAAAGGCTTGGAGATCGAGTTTCGCAGTTTGTTCCAGTGCTCAATCAGAAGCGTTCGATTATACGATTGACTTCAGTAGAAAGTGATGTTCCTTTTTAAAACTATAACTTGGAAGGCTGATCAAGATTCTTCAAGAGCTACTGTCTAGCTCGTTTAGCTCGGTTGGTCTTTTAAACAAGAAATAAACTTGTTTCCACCTTGAAACAAGTGAAAAACATCCACCAATTTGATTGATTGAAGCGTTCGTTAAGCGTTGATTTGCCGATTTAGACAATTTTCCCAGCCAAACCTGACTAGCTCATTGAATGGACTCATTGGGCTGCTTCTAAAATCACTCATCCGACGGTTCATTGCTACTTCTTTCACTCAAAATACAATGACCAGTTTCCTAATGACTGATACGGCCAATTACTCCCAACAAATTTACTTAAATTTTCAAACCGCTCTTCACAATCTGCCAAAATTCCCATGATACTCATTATCACCTTCTGAATTGAGCCTCATTGTGCAAATTCATCCAAAGCACCGCTTAACAAAACCAACCCGAGCAATTATATCCGCTCCCCGGGAAAAGAAAAGAAAACTTCTGTTAACATCCACTTCTACCAATCGCCTGTGTAACAATCAGAAAATTCCCAAATCCAACTCCCATGGCTTCACTCTCTGCTACCGATTTCGGGCGGAAAGAATTGCCTTCAATGCCCCACTGTTTGCGCATTTCACTTCACCGAACGCTGGGTGCATTACTACCACACTGTGACCCATCCATCCCAATCGAGATGACTCATCAAAACGATCAAAACACCTGCAAGCAAACAAGCAAAAAATCGCAAAAAGCTCTTGCAAATTCGCACTTGCGCATTATTAACCGGCATCAACAATACCGCGATAATAATGACAACAACAACAACAATCACGTACGCGATCCGGTTGGTGTGGCGGCACAGCCGAGTAATTACCGCGCACAAATGAGCAGTTTATTGCACGCTCGCGGCCGTCCGCATGGCTTACTTTGATGGAAGGAAAGCTGGCTGGAGGGAAAAATTTGTTCTGTCATTCTCACAGTGCACCGCATGCTACACGATCAACCCATCTTCGCAGGGTTCAAGCCCCAACCAGATTGATTAGCCAGGCCCCTGTCGTGCTTTTGGATCGGAATTCCACCATGGCTACGTAAATTTGAACAGCAAAAAAACCGATCTTCCGTTTGTTCAATGACGCAAATCGACGGGTTGAGCTTGAGCAAGGTGACTCCGCTCGAACTGTGCCAGTCTTCAGTTGTATTCTACGCGTTGCATCATTTGCTCAATCGTTAGCGTTCTTTCCTCGCTGATTCAATCGAATCAACTCTGTTACAAGTGTGTAATTCTGATCGGATCTGTTTGTCCCCAATCCGTAGGCCTTCGCCGTCGTCGCATTCGTCTCGCTGGCCGCTCTGGTCGCAGCCGAGCCACCGTCGCCATACAGCAACTACCAACAGGGCGGTTCCAATGGGAATAACGGTTACAACTATAACGCAAACAGCAACGGCTATCCATCTGCCCCATCCGCCCAGTACGGAGCCCCAACGGGAGCTGGGGCTGGCGGTGCCGCCGGTTACAACTATGCCGATGCTAACGCCAACGCTGAACCCGCCAAGTACAACTTCGAGTACAACGTTCAGGACTTCCAATCAGGCAACGATTTCGGACACATGGAATCTCGCGATGGAGACCGCACCGTTGGCCGCTACTACGTCCTGCTTCCCGATGGCCGCAAGCAAGTTGTGAACTACGAAGCCGACCAGAACGGATACCGCCCAACCATCTCCTACGAAGACACCGGTGCCGCTGCCGGAGGATACCCAAACAGCCAGGGCCAGCAGGGTGGATTCCAGGGATACTAAGGTATGCGCCGACGAAAGATCGAATCGATTGACAAGCACTCACAAAACCCACTCAAGTTATTAGGAACGAATTTAAACTCTAGTTAATTTTTTATAGTGAATTATACTCACTCTTCCTACACTTATTTCAATCTATACTACCAGCCTACCGCCTGGTAGATGGCCAGTATTTGCAAACTTCCTTACAAATTTCCTAAACAACAAAAAACTATTTTACTTCATAAGTAGTTTAGACACCACTGCTCCATCTGTGAGCAAGCACCAAAACTTCATCCAAAACAAAAAAAAAACAATTTTGACCAATGGCATCGAACACTGGAAAAACGATTTCAAAACGAACACAAACGTATTAAAAATTATACAAATTTTTATTTGCTTATTATGAAATAAGAAAATGCGAACTGCTTTTATAAGAATCATCTTCGCGATGCGCAACCACGCTTCCGAAGTGCAAAGAATCTAAAAAAAACCCAGTCAGTCCAACGATTGACGACCAAAAAAACATATGTTGTAAACAAAACAAACATATCTTAGTATAATTTTGCAAGCAAGTAGAAAAAAAAATGTGTGAGGAAAACGATGATAAACTGCCATAAAATGAACATCAACAGCAAAACAAAAACATTAAAGAAAAGTGTCATCGGCTGTAAAAAAAAACAAAAACACCCAACAACCCAGCGATGACACTTGAAGCTAGCAAACGACAACAGCAACATCAGCAACCTAGAAGAAAACCTCTGTAAATAAGTAAGCGTTATTTGTACATTTATTGTTTAATTTTCTTTCTTTTGTAACGTAATGTTGTCAAAACGAAGTTAAGAAAAATAAAAACACATGCGAAGGCAACACGATCGGCACTCCCAGCTACCTTGGCGTGTACCACCGTGTGATGGTCAATGTTGTTTGGTGGCTGGTACGGTGCTTAAACGGAGCACCGGCTCAACCATGACCACGACGACAACGACCAGCACCGGATGGATATGAGGCAGCTCGGGAGTGGTTGATTATTTGCTTCCGATAAATGAAAAAAAAAAAACCTTCGACTGTTTTCGTCACTTTCAATATCACCAATAAATCCGAAAGTCCTAAAAACTATAACCTCGATGTGGTCTGGTTCCAATTTGCAAGCAATGGCAATTCTTATTCTAAATGACAAATATTCTCCAAAAACTGCTTGCTTTATTATTTGAAAGCTATTTGTTTGAAAACATGTAAAGTTACATAAACTAAAATCATTCTTCAATGACAATTAATTTGCTTAAAACAAATGGGGGATCGTATTCAAAATAAACATGACAAGTGACAAGAACAATCCAAAGAAATTTGGTTTGAAGTTTATGGTTCAAAACAAACTATCATTTAATTTGTTTCGTGTAATTGCTTTCGATAACCATCTCCCTTCTATCCGCCAAGCAATTCCAATTTGACAGGTACGAAAACAATGGAACGGCACACAAATCAAGGCATTAGTAACAAATCGTGTGCCGACTAAAAAAACAAGAAAGCATTCCCACCCAGCGTGCCAAAAACCAAACCGATGATTTAATATCGACCTACCATTGAAAGAAGATTGGAAGATAGAGGCAAAACGAATTAATTCGAAAGGCGATTACGATCAAACGAAAAGCAAAGAGTTGAAATCGCTACATGGCGTGCTAGAATCACCGACTACGATGCACAGTGGGACGACGTAGCCGGTAGTTTGGACATAAATTTTTGGATTAGCGATCGTCGACAAAGTTGCTCAGTCTGCATTTGACGGTTTCTGATTAGTTAATTATTACGCCACATAGTGGCACCGATAGTGTAGTGTTAAGCGGTGTTGCCTCCCACTTCAAAGGGATTGGGTTCAAGCTCAGTCGGCGCCGCCGGGATTAAAATCTGTGATCACACCTTTCTTCGGAAGGGAAGTAAAGCCGTTGGTCCCCGGTCTATGAGTTGATGGGTCGATAGGTAGGGTCCACGTATAGGAGCTGCCTCCCTGACGTCAGTAGCATTGGTGCTCAGTACGGAAAACAATATCGACGGAAATAAATCAAAAAGAAAAAATAAACTATTACGCCACATAGGACCTATGATAGGTTGGAGCTCGATTCTATATTTTGAAAGGAGCACCCTAAAAGAATGGGTTCTTCTGAAATTCTGTGCATTTCAAAGTGTAGAGAAATGTTGTCGAAAAAAAGTAGTCTTCACATTTTTGATTTACAGTTTAGCGACTTTGCAGTCAATTTAATTGTTTATGGGAAGTTTGAACATACTGAGAGGTAAGCACATATTATCGGTAAGAGACGTGTGTGTGAGAAAATTTGCGAAAAAATCTATGGGCACCGGTGGGATTCGAACCCACGATTCCCATTCAGTACACGGGTGCATTGCCAATTATACAACGGTGGACCTATGGTCTACGGATGTATTTTATGACATTTGAGTTTCGAATCCGTTCCCCACCCTAGTCTCTTTGCGCAAGCGTTCTCTGATACACAACAATCGTCTATTGTCGACGATATGTGCTTGTACCGCAACCACTCAGTATCAGTCGATGTGAACAAACACAGCTCATTTTTGTTGTACATCTTACATGCTGAGATATGTCCAATAATATTGGCGTGGGACACCCTTTGGGTATCAAAAAGTGCTACCCTTTCTACAAAATTTCCCTTAGTGCTCTATCAGGCGTCGCAATCGTCGCTTGCCAAAGGTGAAGAACAAAGATCTTTGCATAGCTTCAGTATACGTTCCACCAAGCACCTCTATTAGCCGTAGTCAACTCTGGAGTATAGTTTTGATTCTTCCATCCCCAGTTTTGATTCTGGGTGATATGAACCCCCACTTGACTTTTGCAAATTTGTTTGCCAATCGTCATTTCAATTAAGTGTTGCCCTTACTCTGCAGAAACATCTCGAGTTCCATTTGATCTTACAAGGAACATTGACTGGTAGAAAAATGTAACGGCAGTGACAATCGGTGTCTACTCAATAGATACGTTTCCACCATTGAAAGGATATCGATTCCTTGCCGATTTGATATAAAGGCTGACTAAAAGTAAATTGGTACACCCCTCGCGCGCCGCTAGCACGCTTCTAGTGCTGGAAATCGAGAATCTTTGGCAGAGGTTTGTTTACATTTCAATAGAGAACAACTGGTACAAGTTTGATCAAAGTAGTCGATCGCGTTCAGAAATAACGTCAAATGGAACTCGAAAGAAGAAAAAATATTGTGGACAAACCCCTGGAAAATCCGGAGTGGTCCGGTTCCAAGCTGGCTAAAGTGCTGAAGATCACGAAAAAAACAGTTTGTCGAGTGCTCAAAACCTACAAGGAAACCATGAGTGTGGAAAAGAATCAGCGGACCTACGAAAAAACTGGAACCAGGAATCGTCAGCTGCGCAGCAAGGTGTTGAGGTGCGTGAAAGCCAACCCCGATCTTTCGATCCGAGATGTGGCCAGAAGGTATAACGCATACGTTCAAATGGTGCGGAACATCCTTGCCAGGGAAGGATGTAAGTCGTACAAAGCCAGTCAACATCCGAACCGGCACATGAACCATAATTCCGTTGGAAAAAAAGCATGCAAGGCTTTTGTACGACCGTGTTTTGACGAAACACAAGGGCTGCACTTTGATCGGATGACGAAACATACGTCAAACTCGATTTTAAGCAGCTTCCCGGTCTAAAGTTTTACATCGCAACTGGACGTGGGGATGTGCCGGTAAGATTCAAGTTCGCGAAGGAGGCCATGATTTGGCAAGCGATTTGCAGTTGTGACTTGAAAACGGAACCATTCGTCACATCCTCGACGATGACATCCCAAGTTTACATCGAAGCATGCCTGAACAAGCGTGTATTGCCGTTCATCCGCAAGCAAAGGGGCAAAGCCATCTTTTGGCCTGATTTGGCCAGCTGCCACTACTCCAAGGTGGTTCTGGAGTGGTATGCTTCCAACGAGATCGATTTTGTCCCCTAGCTAATGAATCCTCCGAATTGCCAAAATTTCGACCAATCGAAAAATTCTGGGCAATTTCAAAGCAGCAACTTCGACGAAGCGGCGAGGCAGTCAAGAACATCCAGCAAATGCGGGCAAAATAGAATAAATGCGCTGATTCCGTGTCCGTTTCCACTGTGCGGCGCTGATGGGCTCCATCAAGAGGAAGGTTCGAGATTTCGTTCGAATTGGAGAAATGTAACCATCTAATGCTGTAGCTTTGAAGATTTAATAAAAGTACTGTAAAGCAACCATTAATGGAAATTACAGTGTCTTTTTGCGCGTACCAATTTACTATTAGTCAGCCTTTACAAAAGCTCACTGGAAGCACAAAAAAGAAACGTTCCAAGTGCATCCTTTAAAATTAGACCAGACACCTGGATAGGATGAATAATGCACAAAATTGTATGTAGAAAAATCTGATGCTTTTAAAGCTTTTGGTAGACACAAAACCTCCACATACTTCTAGGAATATTGAAAGCTTGAGACAAAGCTGAAACAATTAGTCAAAGCTAAAACACGCGGTTATTGGCGCAATTTCGTCGAGAGACTCACACGAGAAACCTTAATGAACACCTTGTGGATAGCGGCGCCGGTGGTGTAGTGGTAAGCGTGATTACCTCTCACCCCAGCAGGCCTGGGTTCAATCCCATTCGGCGCCGCCGGGATGTTCTGAGGCATAACATCTCTGATCACGCCAAGTAAAGCCGTTGGTCCCCGGTTCATGAGTTGATGGGTCGATAGGTAGGGTCCAGGTGTGGGAGCTGCCTCCTGGCGTCGGTAGCATTGGTGCTCAGCACGGAAAACAAGATCGACGGAAAACAAATCAAGGAAAAAAAAACACCTTGTGGAAGGTGCCTCGCAACATGCGTAACCGCTCATCTTCTAATGAGAGTGAAGAATACTCCATCCGATGGATATACGATTTCGCTTAAAAGGTCTGTCCGGACTCAGTTCCAGCGCAACATATTCTTCGAGAAGCGTCTCCGAGCGGCGGCTCGCTGGATAGACCATTCACAATGCTGGAATTCTATATGGCTCTTCTTTCATCGTACAACTCCTCACCGGGAAGCGATTAAATTCAATCTTCTGAAAAATCTCCCATAGGGGAAACTAACGATTTTAAATTGGCTCACTACTTGACTAGCCTAGTTGTCCCAAGCAAATCGATTAACGTACCCCATTCTAGTCGGAATTCTAGTACTACACTATGCTTGTTTTGATTCGCTATATAAATATGATAAACTGAGGGGTTCGTGGATTTCCTTTGTTTCGAGGGGTGCATCAATTAGCTTGGGACCGAAGAGAGTACCAGAGCTGAGCCAAAAAGTTGAGCACATTTCTTCGGGACCTACTGGTGTTAGATTTACGTCTATAGATGTAATGTCGGCCTAAATGTCCCTAATTTGGGCCCATACATAAATTCAGCAATCGACTAAATTTTCAATAGCAACCAAAAACATCCATTAGTACGGTCCCAACGACGATAAAATGCAGATTTTTAGCAATGAGCCCAATCTTAGATCCATAGGCCAACATTACAGCCATTTCTCCAATATCGGTAAAAGACGCTTCGTGACGTCACTCTGCAGAACCTAATAGCCATTCAAAAACCTGGCAAACCAGCGTCTGACCATAACTCATACCATCCGATTGCTATGCCTTGTGCATTAAGAAATTGTTGGAGAAAATGATCCTTCTAAGACTCGATCAGTGGGTCGAATAACAAAACTTGCTATCAAATACACACTTTGGGTTCCGCAAGAGCAAAGGAACAAGATTGTCTAGCGCTGTTTTCCATAAATATTCAACTGGCCTTTACGCACAAGGAGCAAATGGCTTCAGTATTCTTGGACATTAAGGGGGCTTTTGATTCAGTTTCCATTGAAACTATGTTAGAGAATCTGCACAGATGCGTACTTTCTGGAATTTTAAATAGTTTCTTGAACAATATGTTGTCATCATAAAAGCAAATGAACTTTTCTCTTGGACAACTGGTAATATCCAGAATTAGTAACATGTGCCTGCCCCAAGGTTCATGTCTGAGG